GCGGGGAGCAGAACAGGCAGAAGGACCGAAGTACACTGCTGAGGGGAGCAGCGGGCGGCAGGAGAGGTCTGCGCGCCATGTGGGACCCTCCTCTGGTGGCCGGGGAGCAGCCGGGGATCGAACCGGCACTGCAGAGGCTGTGGGCAGCTTCGCAACCCAGCGCTCAACCGCTGCGCCACCGGGGAGGCCCTTTTCCCTGTTCTAAAACTTTGTGATTCTAAGTTTATAGATGAATTTTGCATATATGCATGTCTCTAGGCACATGATTATTCTTAGAGCCAGGCACAAAGTATATACCTTCTGCTGAATTTGCATCTCATCAGAGACATGCCTACAACCTATGCTCAAATTATAACCCAAAGAATTTTTTTGCCAACTTGTTTTATGTTAGTATGAACTCAGTATATGAACATGTTTTAGATCTCCAGACACAGTGCGGGTTCATTGACTTATTATGATGATGATCTGATTAGCATACCTAAAATAACACAAGGTTTCTTGCTCTAAGGTAGGTGATTTCAAAGAAGATTACCATGTGCTCTTTCCTAAGGTGATCTTTCCACCCTCCATTAAAAGACAGACTCTATTTTCCCTCCCTTTGAATCTGAGCTGGCCCTTTGATCTATTTGACTTACAGAAATGGCGTTGTATAGTTTCTGAAACCTTAAGAAACCTACAGCTTCTGTCTTTACTTCTTGAGATACCCCTGCTTGGAACCCAGCCACCACGTTGTGAGGAAGCTCAAGCAACCATGCTAAGAAGGCCAGGTGGAGGAAAACCAAGCCCCCTGCCAAAAGCTCTAGCTGAATTCTCAGCCAGCAGCCAACACCAACTGCCAACCCCACATATGAGGATATTTTTAGATTTCTCAGCCATCTCAGTGCTTTGACAACACACAAAGCATACAGAAATTCAAAAAAATAAAAATCATTGTTGCTTTAAACCATTAAATTTTGGGAGAGTTTGTTAGGAAGCAATTTCTACCCATTAAACAAAGAGTTTAATGTTGGAGCAGAACTACGTATCCAAATATAGCACGCTAATTCTCCATCTACTTGCTCCTCATTCAATCAAGTGAATATTTATTGAATATCTACTCTGCTGGAGGCTGATGATACAAAGGAAACCAGGTAGTCATGTCCCTGCCCTGATGGAAGTTATTACATGGATGGGGAGACACACATTACAGAGAAATATTGCACGCCAAATTATGAGTCATGGTACTGTTGAGAATTGACACCAGGCATTTGGGGGGCCCCTATTTGAGCAACTGACTTCATCAGAGATCTGAGAAAGGGAAGTAAAGACTAAATTTAAGACTCAGGGGGCCTCCCTGGTGGTCTGGAGGTCAACTTTCAGTGCTATCACCACTATGGCCTGAGTTCGATGCCCAGCCAGGGAGCTAACCCATATGGTACAATAGACCTCTCCTGTCTCGCCTGCTGCTCCCCTCAGCAATATATTTCATAAGATCTGCCTGTTCTGCTCCCCACTCTGTCTCTGGTGAATCCGCTCACCACCCCCCTTGCACCTTTGGCCTATACCCCAGTTCCTCTACACAAAAATATCAGTAATAATAATAACACTCCGGGAAGATTAAAAGTTAGTCAGGCAGAGGGAAGAGCAAGGTTCTCTGCATTGAGGACCCAGAGTGTGCAAAGGGTCCATGGCAGGAAGGAGGATAGAATGTTCAAGATCTGTGTCCAGAGCTAAAAGATCATGGTCCAAGATAAAATGAGTCTGTAAGCGAGTAGGAGCTAGGCCTTCAAAGACAAGGAGAGGTTAACAAACTAATATCACTCAGATCAGATTTTCTCTTCGAACTCCAGGAGGGAGAAAATGGGAGGAACCCCAGTGAGAGTAGCCTGAAGTGTTCCACCAGACATACTGTACCTGCAGTGACATTATAGTTATTTCAATACTCAACATACACTGGCAATTGATCCAGACCCTGGCTACATTTCCCTGTCTTATTTGTATGCATCTCTCTCCATTATAAGATTATAAAATCTTTTGGGTACAGGGACTATGTCTCATTCTTTATTTCATTCCTCCTTTTCCACAGTATGTAGCACAGTGTTGGGCACATAGCAAATGCTTAATAAGTTTCAAAGAAAATTAAAACATAAATAAATAATCCATTCATAAGTACTCTATCTGAAGTCATCTCCTGGTAGAAAATTCTATATCTTTACTTGGAAAATCATTTGAAAGACAGCAACACTCTTAGGAAAGTCTTGCTGTAAAAAGTCATTCCTTTCTAATTTTAGCCAATTCTTCAACCTCAATGAAGACCGAGAATATCCCATCATATTTCCAGAAAATATCTTTGTGTATACTTTGAAGATCATTACTGGGTCACCCCTAGCTTTTTTCTTCCTTTCAGTGGCAAAATACTTAATCTTTCTCACCTTCCCTCAAAGAAAGCATTTAGTTACTCCCTGGATTCATTCCAAAACTTCTATCCCTTCTAAATGGTAAAAGCCAGCCATCTAGTAGACCAGGAAACAAGGTCAAATAGGCCTAAGGGACTCTGCTAATAGTTCTCAGGATAGAGGCAGGCTCTTTTTCTGAATTTGCTTGTTTTCAGGCTAGCTCACATGAAAGTGTGCATGCACACACACAGACTGAAACTTTGTATCAGTTCAAAGAATGAAGATTGTTTTATTAGGTGAGACTGCCAACTGTCCTCTGCCCTCACTACCAGCCCAGTATTATCCATCCGATTCCACATACCAAATTTCCTTTACTGAAGGCTTTTCTTCCATGTATTTATAAGTGATATCACAGAGAAATGAAAAGCACTATTTTTTAAATTTTAATTTAAAAAATTTTATTGAGTTAGTATTGGTTTACATCATTGCGCTATTTTTACTGGTATCCCCATACTCCATGTGAGAAAGCATTAGACTGTGAAATATCACCAAGAAATTCCATCAATCCAATGTATCAAGAATGCAAAAGCAATAAATCACTGATCAGTCCACAAATAATGAGACTTTGTTAACATAAATGGCTATTGTGCTTCTTAAATTATTTTTTTACCATTTGGGTGAAAACACTACAATTTTACTTTAAAAGATATTGCTAAATTCCATGCAATTTTTTTTTTTAATCTCTTGTCAAAGAGAAAATTTCCCCAGTTATTTTTATTGTAGCTCTTTAAAAAGTCTCTATTATGCCATAGAAATGAGATCACATAAAGGATGGTTACCGAAAAGTATTCTCAAAACTTTTGTATTATTTTGGCGCAGAAAAATAGAAAGATTGTGTACATAATATAATTACACTAACTCTTGGATTTAAATTAGACCATTCTGTTAAACTAAGAAATCTCAGTTTCAGAAAAACTTCTAAAATCTATGTTCCAAAAAAAATCTGTATTAGTTTAAATTACTTCCAAAATTAGTAGGTACTGCTTTTTACAATTTTAAACCAACATATAGCAGCACACCTAACAAGCATGTATATACACGTATTATCTCATTATTGGCATAAATGGAGAAATGCATAATATAATAATCAGTATTTATTATTTTGTTTGTGTTTGGAAGAATAAAGTATGAGGAAAGTAGTTGTGTATATGAACTCCACATTTTTAGTCAAACAGCTCATAGCAGCATAATTAGTATTTCTAAGAATTTGCAACAATAACATGCTATCAAAAATAGGAACCCACACATAAACATCATTAAGATCTCAAACAGTTGTATAACTCAAAATTTTCTAAATATTAATGTCTTTGCCTTATCAAGTACAAAAATAATCTAAGAACTGCACAAGGGATTGAACACACCTTTAGAATGAATGAAAGAGATATTGATTTTAATACACATGTTTAGTGCTCCCTGAATTAAAAAGTAATAACTTTGATTTTTGTAGAAAATGAAATTCTGCATAATAATCTAAATTATTTAGGGACCTCTTAGGAGAGGTACTTGTCCAATTTTCTGTCAAATGCCCATTCATCACTGGTAATCACTAAAGAAATGCACTGCAACTGCCACCATAGGTTAAGAACACATTACACAATGCTCTGAGTGACCTATAGGGAAAGAACTTCCCAAGGTCACTCCAGTAGTCCACAGCCCAGACTGGGATAAATGCGTCTTGGTGCGATGCCCAAAGTCCTCCCAGGTCACACGGAACACACACTCCTGGACAGTTTCTATTCCAAAGAGAGATCAAGGTGACTGACTCACTTTTGCTTGATCTCACCAGCACCTAGCAGCTAAGGTGGAGGTGATTTCATTTACAGCACATTCACAGTACGAAAATTAAGGGCCCATTTCCAGTGTCAAGGTGAAAAGCACCTAAGCATTCAGTGTAACCATGATTTTAAGGACACACAACAAGCACTAGAATCGCGCAGAAGGAAGCAACTACTAAGAAAACATTAAGTGTAGTACTTCCCAGACCCTGGGAACTGCATGCCAGACTTCGCTTATTTGGTCTTAACCAGATCCCGCAGTCTTTGCCTAATTAAGTGAAGCACAGAAGAGGTCCCCAAACGGCACCAAACTTTCTGCTCAAAGTGTCTTTCTTTAGATCAGAGCTCGGAGATCTCTCCCGAGACCCAAACGAAAAATAATCAAAGTAGGACAAAATAGAAGAGATGGCTAAAACTCTGGAAGCCAAGGCTTCTGGATACTCAACGATACGTCTTAAAGCCATTTTTCCCACGCACCAAAGGTGCAACCAGAAACATTTCCAGCACTAAAATTCAACGCCCCTGGTCTCAATCAGGTCCCCGCCGACTGGCCGCCACGAACACAAACTAACTTCCCAGGGCTGAGCGGAGACCCCTGGCCCTGAAGACTCCAGGGGCAGAGGACAGAGGGAGAAGGACAGCGCAGCAGCCTCCGCCCAGGCGGGGAAAGTCGCGCGCAGGAACCGGACTGGCCGCTCCGGCACGTGGGGGCTGCGCGGCGCTCGCGGACCCCGACCCAGCGCCGGCCTCCCGCGGTCCGTTCCCGCCTCCTCCCCGCGCCTCCTCCTACCTGTCTGAGGATGAAGCTGGTCGAGGTGGTGCTGCCATCGGATCTTTTCAACCTGCTCCTCCGCGTCGTGGTGCCTCGGGCCACCTGGACGCAACACGCGGGAGCAGAGAGAAGCCGGTGAGGCTCGAGGCGCGGACCCGGGCAGACCGCCCGGCCGGAGTCCGCCCCCCGTCCCGCTCCCCGGGGTGCCCGCGAGCCCGCACGCGTCTCCTCTGCGGCTCCCAGACGCACCCCGGATTCCCACCCACCCGCTCCGAGCCTCGACGGCTGACAACGAGCCCGAGACGGCGGCCCGCAGCACCCACCACATCCATTAACAAAGACTCTCCGGGCGCGGGGTCCGAGTCCCCGGCATCGGCTGGGGGCGGCTGCGGGCTCCGGAGCGCGAGCGCGGAGACCCGACGAGGTGAGGAGGAGGAGGAGAAAGGCAGGAGGAGGAGAGAGAGGAGGAGCGGGAGGGAACAGGGGCGCGGAGGAGGGTGCGGGAGCGGGGCCGCCGACTCCCGGGACTGGGGGCCCCGCGCGCCGGGCACGGGGGCGGGGCGCGCCCGGGCCGCGGAGGGAGGGGCGGGGAGGGGGCGGTACCTGCGGGGTGGGGGAGGGCTGCCCGTCCGCCGGCCCGTTCCTGGCGTAGGAGGACATGGTTCACCGCCGCATGGCCCGCCCGAGCGCGGCGGGTGCGGGGCGGGAGGCCCCGAGGCTCGGCAGCGGGAGGAGGCGAAGGCGGCGGGACCTCCCCACCCGGATCCCGGCCCCGCGCCGGCTCCCGGGCGCCCGGCCCGCACTTCTGGGGCGCGACACCTTAAAGGGACCGAGGCGCGGCCCCCGCGCCCCCGGAGGGATCCCAGGCGGCGGCCCCCGCAGGCGACGGTCCCGCGGAGGGGGCTGCTCCGGAGCTCGCCTACCAGAGCCGACTGGGAGAGGCGCGCTCCCACCTATCGAGCGCCTTACATCAGAGCTTTCCAGAGGATGGAGGGAGGGGGAGGCTGGGTGGGGGTGGGAGGATTAAAATAGTCTGCACAGTTTAAAATGAGACAAAGGTGGCACGGTTCATGAATCAGGACTTGGGGAGGGACTCTGGCGCGGGGTGGCAGGCAGTGGGAAGAGCCGACCGGGTGTGTGTGTGTGTGTGTGTGTGTGTGTGTGTGTGTGTGTGTGTGTGTGTGTTGCACTGGAATTTAAAAGGGCTAGAGCTGCACCATCCTTCCGAGACTAAGCTTATCAGTGCAGGGTGTGTGTAAGAGTGTGTGTGAGTGTGTGTGTTTGTGCGCGCGCGCGCCCGTTGCATTAGAATTTAAAAGGGCTAGAACCGAACCTTCCTTCCGAGACTTCACTTACCAGCCTGCTGTGGAGAGGCGTGGGTTTTTGTGCTTTGTTTTCTGTCCGTATTTTTGTATTGTTTTGTCAACTCTAGTCTCAGAAACGGGAGACATGCACATCCAGGCAGCAGCGGGAAACCCTGCCAGTCTGAGTCTGAAGGGAGATGCAGCCCCGCAGGAGACTGGCATGTCCTAAGGAGTTTTGAAGGTCAAGTTAGACCTGCTAAAAAGCAGGAGTTGGCCACGTGCCTCCCGTTTCTACCCAGAGAGCAGTTTCCAAAGGAGGAAACTCGTTTTTTGAAAGCACACATCACAGTCTTTGCCTAGTTGCAACCCTTGGTTTCCTCCTGCAAACGCATACAAGAGACTAAATTGCTATCAAATTAAAAGAGAGGAATTTTGGAGAGGAGGATATTGAAGTCATTAGAAGAGAGAAGAAAAATATTTGCAAATTAAAAAATATGGAGACCTTCGTTTGACTAGTTACTTATGAGGAATCCAACATTAAAATATGCATATATCTTAAACACTAAATTAGACTCTGTCACCTGTATTCTAGGATTTTTGATGGAAACTACCCTGTTTGTTTTAAACAACTGATTGCCCTTATTCAACTCCTGATTATATTTTACTGTCTATTTTACTGCACACACGCACATACACATACACACATCATTCCCTCAACACACTACACAGCAAAACTATTTTCCTAAACTCTTTTTGCCCAAGTCACTTTTCTCTATGAAGTATTCATTAATCTCAGCAACCCACAAAATACAGTCCAAATTCCATGATCCAGCAACCAAATCCTCCTTCTTTCCCCTGCTTTTCTGCTCACCACCTCATTTCTCCAACTTGATTTCTCTGTACAGATCTCTTTCCAGCAAACAGCCAGGGTTTACTCATTCTCATTCAACCATACACCAAATGCAATCCCAGCTTCAGCACCTCTGCCCTGGAATACACCATTCCCCCAGTCTGCTCTTCCTCCAGACCTAGCTCTGCTCACTCTTCCTCCATAGAAGTCCTCCCTGAACTCTCCAGTCCTGGAAAATTTCTCCTGCCCTTAGTATAGGCTGCCTTAGTTTATTAGTTCACTCTTTTGTGAAAATCTCCTAATTTCCAAAACAGATTTTTAGCTTTTTATCTTCTATTCTTATATCTTACATTTAGTAAATATTTCATAAAGCTTGTAGCTAATGGCTTATCTGCCAGTGCAGAACTCCCTGCTTTAGTTACCGTCAACTCAATCCATTTTTAGTTTTGAGCCATTTTCATAATTGATATTTAATCAATATACAGAAGATGAATCATTGTGTGGGCACTGGAACTTGAGATTGCTGGTTTTCCACTGACCATTTCTCACTGACTTTGAATTTTCAAAAAAGAAACTAGAGTGTCATGTAGTAAGGAACTCTGTGCACCAGTACCGTAGCAAAACCTGTGAAAGTTTAAAAAAATAAGCAATTAATAAAGCTACTTAATTCTTTGGAATTGGTTCTAAGGCTCAGCAAATGAAAATAAACCTTATTTTAGAAAACTTACTAAAACTCAGCAAGAAAAGTAAGTCTGTGGTGTTTAACAGACTCTCTGCTTTATATACAGCTCAGCAAGAAGGAAACTCCACTCCATACTGGTACAGCCAAGAACTCAAGGCTCTCTCCCCTCAGTTCTCAACTGGAGGGCTATATCCCTGAGAGAGGACATCAGTATTTATCATCCTGTCCCCCCATGCCTGTAATTGAGGTTAAATTTCCATAAAATACAGTAGAAATGTGGGGGCTTCCTTCCTTAGCCTAGACCCCACTTATTGGATGGAGGAACCTTGGGCAGAGAGGATACTGGGGCCCTGGCTGCTCCTGGAGTGGCAAGCTAGGAAATCTGGAACTGATGCCCCCCACCCCATCAAGCACTCAGCTCCTAAAGTGGGGTATGTCACTAAGAGTTACACCATGATCTCTGCCCCTAGAACCAAAACTCAAAAGAAAGAATTTGGATCCTTTCCCTCACACCACATACAAAAATTAACTCAAAATGGACCAAAAGCCAAAATAAAAGAGAGAAAAATATAAAGCTCAGAAAAAAGCATAAGGGTAAATCACATGACTTTGCATTTGGCAATGGATTTTTAGCTTTGACACCAAAAGCACGAGCAACAAAAAGAAAAAATACATTGGTACTTCATCAAAATTAAAAACTTATGCTTCAAAGAGGGAAGTGAAAAGAGGGCCTCCCTGGTGGTGCAGGGGTTAAAGTCTTAAAGCTATCGAGCTATTACCAGCAACTTCAGCATGAGTTGGATCCCCAGCCTGGGAGCTAACCCTTATGGTGCCACAGATTTCTCCAGTCATACTGTTATGGGGCAACCCCAATATAAAACGGGTTGCCTGGCTGTGGGTCCTCACTCGCGCTTAAAAGGGACTTATTAATACTCCACTACAGACACACACAAAAAGGTTAATAAAAGGTTTATTTACAAGGGAAAGGGAATTAAGGAAATGTACCACTCAGGGAGAAAATAGGGAAATAAAGTCTTTAATGCGTCCTACCCGATCCGCAGACCTGGAAACCCAAAGGCACTCTCAGAGCTGGCTGGACTCTGTGAGCTGGCGGGGAGCCAAAATGGGGGAAACTCTCCAAAGCCCACGTGTCTGGCTTTATACCAAACCTGGCTGCTTAACCCCACCCTTAGGTCCCAGCCACCTTCCCTTTGGTGGTGATGAGATTTGGAGTTCCCAATGTCTTTTGGCTTTGGTCTGGAGTGGGGGTGGAGTCCACAAAGCCTGTATGGAATTAGCTTTAGGACAGCCTTTTCCCCCTAACAATACCTCTCCAGTCTTGCCCACTGCTCCCCTCAGCAGTGTATTTCAGTAAATCTGCCTGTTCTGCTCCCTACTCTGTCTCTGGTGAATCCTCTCACACACACACCCCGCCCTGATTTAGACCCCAGTCCTTGTATGCATAAATAAATAAAATAAATCTTAAAAAAAAAATGCAAACTTTTAAAAAAAGTGAAAATAACCCACAGTATGGGAGAAAATATTTGCAAATCATATGTCTGTTAAGGATTCATAGCTACAACTCATTTAAAAAAAGATAAGTAACCCAGTTTTTTTAATGGACAAAGAATCTGAATAGACATTTCTCCAAAGATATAAAGATGGCTAATAAGCACATGAGAAGATGCTTGACATTGTTAATCAAAGGGAAATGCAAATCAAACCCATAGTGAGACAGCACTTTATACTCACTAGGACAGCTATAATCAAAAAGTTGAATAAGAACAAGTATCAGGGCCTCTCCTGGTGGCGCAGCAGTTAAGCGCTGGACTGTGGAGCTGCCCACAGCCTCTGCAGCGCCGGTTCAATCCCCAGCCCCCGGCGTGGGGGTGCCACATGGCGTGACAGACCTCTCCTGCTGCACCCGCTGCTCCCCTCAGCAGTGCGTTTCATCATTCTACCTGTTCTGTTCCCTGCTCTGGCTCTGGTGAATTCCCTCACCCTCCCGCGCTTCTGACTTTACCCAGTGCTTGTATAAATAAATCAATCAATCTAAAAAAAAAAAAAAAAAGAACAAGTATTGGCAAAGCATTGGAGAAACTGGAACCGTAATTCATTGCTGAAGGGGATGTAAAATGGTGCAACCATTTTGAAAAGCAGTTTGACAGTAACCCAAATAGGTAAACATAGAGTTACCATATGATCCAGCAATTTTACTTCTAGGTTTGTACCCAAGATAAACGAAAGCAAATGTCCACACAAAAACTTGTATACCACCACTCAGACGACATCGTTTATATTAGCCAAAAAGGTGAAAACAACCCAAATGTTCACCCACTTCATTCCTAGAAAAAGGATGAATGCCCTAACATAGAGGAGTCTTGAGAACATAATGCTAAGTGAAAGAAATTTCAAAAGATCACACCCTGTATGATCCCACTCATATGAAATAGGGAAATCTATAGAGAATAAAAATAGATTAGTGGTTGCTTACGACTAGGAAGGCTAGGAGGAGGGAATACTGAGGTGATAGCTGTAGGTACAAGGCTTCTTTTAGAGGTGAAGAAAAGTTTCTAAAATTGATTGTAGTAATGGCTGCACATATCTATAAATACACTGAAGTTATTGGATTGTATACTTTAAATGAGTGAATTAGATGGCATGTGAATTATTCCAATAAAGCTATTATTTTCTAAAATCCTCATATTATAAAAAAGTAACTCAAAATAGATCATAAATCTATGTGTATATTGCAAAACTATAAAATTTCTATGGAAAAAAAAAAGAGAAAATCTACATGACTCTGGTTTTGTAATGAAGTTTTAGATATACCACCACCAAAAACATTGTTCAAGAAAGTACAAATTCACATTTTGGGTTTATTAAAAATTGAAAATCTTTTGCTCTGTGACAGACTGGGTTAAGAAAATGAAAACACAAGTCACAGATTGGGAGAAAAATATTTGCAAGACACAAATCTGGTAAAGAATTTATAAAAATATATATAAATAATTCTCAAAATTCAATAAGAAAACAAACAACCCAATTAAAAAAATGGACACCATGGAAGATATATGGATAGCAAATAAGCATATGAAAAGAAGTTCAATATCATCTGTCACTAGGGAAATGTAAATTAAAACAGCACAATACCACTGGACAGCTATTAAAATGGCAGGAAAAAAATTTTAAAATGACATTACTATTGTTAGTGAGCATGAGGAACAACACAAATTCCCATTCATTGCTGATGGGAATGCTTAATGGTACAGCCCTTTGGAGGCGGATTTGGCAGTTTCTTAATAAGCTAAACATAGTCTTAACATACAACCGAGAGATCATGTTCCTGGTGTTACAAATTTGTATTTGTCCATATAAACACCAGCACCGAAATGTTTATAGCAGCTTTATTCATAATTGCTACAAACTGGAAGCAACCAAAATATGTTTCAATAAGTAAATGGATAAACAAACTGTGACAAAATCATACAATGGCACACTAGTGAAAAAAGGAATAAGCTACCAAGCCATAAAAAGACATGGGTAGACCTGAAATGCATATAACTAAGTGAAAGAAATCAGTCTGAAGCTACATACATACATTGATATGAAATTCTAAAAAGAGCAAAGCTATAACTACAGTAAGCAGCTCAGGGGTTCATGAGGGGCAGGGTTGAATAGTAAAAGTGCAGTGAATTTTTTTAGGGATGGTTATTCTGAATGATACTGTAATGGTAGGTACATGACTGTATATGTCAAGAACTTTTGAACTTTTCCACACAAAAAGTAAACGTTGGTGTGTGTGCACATTTCTTGAAATGATTTTTGGGGGAGATTCCAGGATGAAATGCAGAGTGTAGCAAAAGAATGTAACATAATTCTGTGAAACAATTTTGAGGAAGGGTGCTAAATAGTTTTGAAAATGATTGGCATTTGTAAAACTAAAAGTAATAGTTTTGAAAATGATTGGCATTTGTAAAACTAAAAGGTGCAGTTCATGAAATTGTTTCCTGAGAGATATGGGTTAACAATTCTGAAATCACTATATATATGTACTGGAATTGAACCATTAAATAAAATGTATAGCTGATAACAGGAGCCAAGTTTTCCACTGTGGAGTGGTAGGTTATAGAGAAGAGGAGAAAGCTGGAATGACCCATGGGGTAATGGATTAGTCAGAGACATCAGTATGGTATCTTAATGTAGATACAGATAGCTATCTAGAGAAGTAATTATAGATATGTGTATATGCATGGGATAATGTACACACATTGTCTTGCTTTCAGTTGAGGGCTTAGAAATAATGACATCTTAGTAGCGACCTAATACCAGGTCTTAGTGTCAAATATTATCTTAAATAAAAGAAACCAGGGCACCTTGAAGAAACAAGTGATTCTAGGACTCCGGCAGGAAATATACAAGATGAGCCAGGAGCATCTTATGGGCCCATAAGGTAAAGATGTGCTTTTAAAAGATTGTGGGTATGACACAAACTGCAAGAGCTCCCAATGGCCAAAGTTGGAACAATTCAAGCAATGAAGTAGTATAGGACTATAGTCTAAAGTGTTTGGTAAATATCCATGAGTCCATAATGAAAAAATATTTGAAAAATTAAATGGGAGAGAAGAAACAAAACTTTCATGGGAAGTAATTCCAAATAATTTGTGTAGATCCTCCATCTTCAAATAGGGGAAACACAATTCACTCCCTCCTTCAATGTGCATGACTTCCTTCCTAAGAGTACAAATGGCAAGAAGGAAGTGGAGAAACTTGAAAAACACTATTCAGACAGGTGATGGAGATTCACATTAACAGTTATGTTAGGTTGATACAATGTGAGAAGGGCATTTTAATTCTGTGACCTCCCAATCCTACAACCCCAGTCTATCATGATGAAAATGTAATATAACTCCCAATTGAAGGACAGACTACAAAGTAATATGCTTGGTTCTCCTCAAACCTGTCAAAAGCCATCAAAGTCTGAGAAGGTGTCACAGCCAAAAGTTGCTTAAGCTTAAGGGGACAAGATGATTAAATATAATATGACATCTGGATAGGATTCTAGAACACAAAAAGGACATTGGATAAAAACTTAAGAAAATATGACTATAAAGAATGGACTTAATAAACAGGTATCAATATTGACTCACTAATTTTCACAAAGGTATCACAGTAAGGTGGTAATAGTATGGGGAAATTAGGTATAAAGTTCTCTGTACTACCTTCAAATTTCTATAAATCTAAAATTTCCCCCAAATAAGTATTTTTAAAAAGTTTTATAGTAGAATAAACCCCACACTTAGAAAATTAGGAATTGGAGCTTAAGAGAATGAATTGCACAAGAGCAAGTGACCACAATTACGCTCTGCTTTCTTTCCAAATACACTGAATACTAGACAGTTATAAATCTGATCATCTCTGTCCATCATTTTCATTCAACCATGCTTGTGATGAATTATGCTAATCCTCTGTTCAAAGGAATTTTCTTCTAAAAGTACAAATTAAGATGCTGTTAGATTCCAAATAATACACAAATTCTGGTTTTTCTACTTTCCTGTCCCCAGTGAAGATAACCCCATAAAAACTCAAAGTTGGAAGAGAACTTGAATGAAATTATACCGGTGGTTCATAACCAGTATAAATATGTAGTAGGAGACATGCAAGTTGGGGCAGCAGTATTGTTGAGAACATTACATAGAATTTGTTTTGTCCTTAACCCCCATATCTATTTGAGATGTCTTGCAAAAACCACTTACGTATCTGTGACCTTTCAATCTTCTAGGTAACTTTTTTTTTTTTCATAATCATTTGCCTCTCCTCCAGCAAGGGTCTGAGATGAGTTCCCTGCCACATATCAGAAATGTTCTCTGTGCTTCTGCCTCTGCTATAATCCCTGGGCTCAGAGTGGAGAAATGAGCATGCTGATCTGGAAACAATCCAAGAGTATGATTTGATGAGCACTGGACACACTAAGATTTTTTTTTTTTTTTAAGAAGTAAAAGCCATTGGACTTCTAGAAACTTAGGATCCAAGCTTCTTGTCTCTTGATAGTTAAAATGCCATGTTCCCTGGCTTCTAAAATGATTTGTAATTTAAGATGCATCACTGGTTGAATAACTTTAGGGAATAAAATGAAATCCTATAATATGGCTTATCCACTGTTGGATGTCTTATTATCATACATGGAATGGAATAAAATGGGATGATGATCAACAAGCACAATTAAGAAAGGATCAAAGAAAATTCATTAATTGAACGTGAGGCAATATGAGGTGATAGGCACCTCTCTGCTAAATTCATTTTTAATCTTCATTGCACAAAAATTTTAAGTGCCTAGACTATGCTCTGGGAATGCACCAATAAATAAAACACAGCTCCAATTTTTGAAAGATTGCTTTCAGATACAAATAGCAAAACCCTAACAATAGTAGTCTAGACAAACAGGGCTAACAGGTAAGGAGTTTATTTTTCCTTATAAAGTCGAGAGAAAAGTAGCCTCGAATCACCAATATCATCAAAGAGCCAGGCACTGTCAATCTTCTTGAGCCATTGTAACTCTTCCTTATGGTCATAATACAATTGGCTTTATATCCTGACATTACATCTTCCTTCTAAATCAGAAGTGGAAAGAACCAGGAGTGTTTTCTTTCTCTCTTCCACAGGGAGCTTTGACCTATATCTCATTGGCCAAAATTGTGTCATGTGGCCACCTTTGGCTGTAAAGGAGTCTAGAAAGCTAAGTCCTATTATCAGGCTTACTAATTTCCTATAAAAGTGTAAAATATGGTTGGAAATGCATGGTGAATGAGCCAAACTATACTTTGTATCTGACAGAAACAGATCATTCTAATGCAAAATAGCCACTTATAACATAGCAACAAGATATACAGAAGCGCAGCTTGGTTTGGGAACCAGAATCACTGAAATTTGGGCTGACATTTGGTAACTTATAGATGGACAAAAACATTCCAGGTAGAGGAAATAAAAAGTAACAGGGCCAGCACAGGTGTAAGAAGCAAAATTGGCAGCTGAGAAATCTGAGGTTTTAGGGGTTGGAATCTAGCATGTACGTGAGAGAGAGAAAAATTAGCAAGACTCTGAGGATGAATGAGGTCATGAAGACTCTAGCTAACTGAGAATGGCCATAACCCAGCATGTAGCAGAAAAAAGTAGCTGGTTTCCTACACCAAAATGTAATCAGCAGAGATACTAACTTGCTATAAAGGTACTCGAAAGATTTTTTTTTTTCCTCATTAGGATCTTAAATGGTATAAATAATAAAGAAGCTTTTACTGGGAGCATCCAGCCAGTTTTCATGTTTTCTGTTCCCCTGTTTACCTTTGAACATTTTTCTCTTTGTTCAATACCCAACACACAAGATGGGCAGAGAATGGATAGTTATAATTTTATAACACCTCTGCCACAAAAACCTGAGTTACTGAAGTGTAGATCTCTGCTATTAAATCAGTTATCATGGGATTATAGGATTAACAAAATTTAATTTAATTTATCCATGAAATTCATTAATTGAGCTAAGATAAATAAAAGGCTGCTACTGGATTAGATATTTGCCTCAGGACTCTTACAATTTTAAGGAAACTTACAAAAATTCAGAATGCTTGGTACACAGATTTATTTCATTGTACACTTACATGTGTTTATTAGTTTCCTGGGGCTGCTGTAACAAAGTATCTTAAACTCAGTGATTTAAATCAACATAAATTTCTTCTCAGTCTGGAGGCTAAGAAACTTCCTTAGAAGACTCTAAGGAAGACCCCTTCCCTGTTCCCTCCTGCTCCCCGTGGCCACAGGCATTCCTTAACATATAGAAGCTCCAATCTGTCATCAGCATTTTCACGTTTTTTACTCAGTCTGTCTTCTTATAAGGACGCCAGTCATTTGATTAGGGTACACCCTATACATCCAGGATGATCTTACCTCCATATCCTTAACTAATCGCACCTGCAAAGACTCTACAAATAAGGCCATATTCTGATATTTTGGATAAACATGAATTTGGGGGGGGGGAACTACTCATTTCACTATACTATATAAACAATGTAATATCTTTCTGACACAGAATGATTTCTTAAAAACCAATTCAAACATAGACTGGTAAAATTAAGAGTAATTCTGGAGAAAACCTTAAAATTGTTGTCTTCAAAAGTAAATCTAAGTAAGATTCCCTGAATTGAGTCCTCCTTTTATTAACTAAAACTGCGTAAGAAAATGTCTTTTGACAGAAACAGAGCAAGATAGATCAGTGTTATGTTATTTATAATTTATTACTTATAAAAATAACGTCAGCTTTCTCATCATGTCACCATCATGACAATTCAATAAATCTCCTAGAAGGCAAGAACCTGGACTTATAATTTTTACTAAGGAAATCTTTTTTTAACCCTGAAGACATAAATATTTTAAGCACTTAAAATCGTATTTAAAAAATTTAGGTGAACTTTATAACCATCCTCAAGATGTACAGTGAGATTTGTTTTGTGGTCAGTTATCAACCACTTCAAATAATATCCCATGACAATGTACCTGCAAATAATTTCAAATCCTAAATGATAAATATAATGAATGTTCAGGTAATTTTATATTATCAAATTAGAAGATGATGACAGTAGACTACACATTTTCCAAACTATAAGAACATATCTCATGTCATATATTTTAACATCCAGGGGAATTTTTTCTATATTAATGAAAATTAATTTTATTATACATTTTCAGGAATTCTTTCTAATGTACCAAGATCGCATGTGAAAAGCTGATGTTATTTTTATTTCTCATCTAAAACAGTAAGGAGAATCCAGTGTAGAAATCTGAAGTTAGACAATTCCTTTAGCAGAAAACATTTAATTATAAACAGGTTTTAAAATAAATACAATCCATAATCATGACAAAGAAAGGATAACAACAACTCTGGCATTTAATGACACTAAAATGTCCCTGTACAGATTTAATAACATTTTTATACTATTAACAAATTGAAACACAAAATTCATTACAATATGACAAAAATAAAATTATTTTTAAGAGGAAGAAACTTCTGGATGTATAAAGTTTCACAGATAAATGCCAATATATAATATTTTTATACATGGCAAATCTTATCTTAGTCCAAGACAACATTAGACAAACTTAACTGGCTGATTCCAATTTAGTGGGTGTGCAGTATTTATACTGATTCAAAGTCTTATGCAGAATTAAGCTCCTACAATTCAAATCATAATTATATGTGAAATATTTACATAAACTTTAACAGAATTGTTTATTAAATGTTGCTTGTGAGAAAAAATGTAAGATTTCCTATATATGCAAATATTTATTATCAAGAGCAGCTTTGTAAATGTTTCATTTTGTTTTCTTTAAAGAATAGTTTCCCAAAAAGGTGCCATTTTAGAATGTTTATAAGTATATAATTGTATTCATATGGAAGGAAAATACTGGATGAAAAACAGAACATGAGACATTCAAAGTTAAAACTTTCTTTCCAGTTACTTGTATCTGAAATACGACAATGACAGAAATTAGGCTTTCAAGTACTGCTTGCTTTTCCCTTTAAATGTAGACTAAATGTATATAGACTTCTGTTTTAGGATATAGTTTATTTTAAAAAGGATTATACTTATAATCAAATTTCTGTAAATTGATCTATGACAAAAAATTTCCAGAGCACTTTCTTCAAATGATTCTGAGTAGAAAGATTAGGGGTTTCTTTAAAAAACAATATAGAACCTTTCATGCAAGTAAATTTATAACCACTGCTTTTCCAAGTCTAAATATCATGTAAATGTATATATTTGCATTTTCTACTTGGTGTTATAAAAGTTGGTAGGTGAATTAATGTGCAAATTTTTAGAGAAGAAAACAATCCCTGGTTTACTACCTAACTCCTACAGTATGTGGGAATCTATTAGTACTATATACTAATTTAAAATGTACACTTGCTTCAGAAAAACTGTCTAGACAGCTTCCTATTAATTTGTTGCCTGCTATTACTCCACAGATTCTGAAAGTAAGTCCAAAGATGTCAACAATTAGCAATTGTATTCTAATTACCTTGTTAAAGAAATGACAGATCAATAAAAATGCTTATCACCAATGTTTGGTATGCATCACATCAAATTATTAAGAATGTCACAAGGCTCAAATTTACATGTAATCTGAAAAAAGGAATGGCAGCATCTCTGCACACTACTGCAAAACCAAAAATAAATGGAACATACCTATATTAGAGAATGACCAAAGTCACTTGAAAAGTGGCACTTCTAAATACCAGGGACCCTTGTAGGAAAAGAAAGTTTTTCTTCAGGGAAAGAAAATGTTTTGTGGGGCATTCCTTAACCCATGTTGGCATGACTGGGGACAAGCTAAGGGTTTTCTCATACATCTGCATGTACATGGTCTTTGCTGTTAATAACAGAAAACAATTTTGTTCTTTCCAAATTGCTCTTGCTTCTGTAGACAATTATGTGTTAATTATTACTCAGCATAACACTGAGAGCAAAACTGACAGTGCTGCAAACACATCTGCAATTTAAGGAGCCAAAAGGAAATGTGTTGGCAAGCTAAATGTTAACACAAAAAGATGTTCCTCTTTTAAAATAATAGTGTGTGGAACTCTGGAAAAAAATATGCAGACAAAAAGTATTTAAATGTTTCAGTGCTCTCCCAATTAATTCATTTTCATGGTAAATGGTGGCCTCTTTAAAGTGAAATTTGAACACTTCTTTTTCATTCCATTTAGTGTCATAGTTTACTAATTCGGTGTCAAGACTGCTTAGAGAGTTGAAAGCAAGACAAAACTGGAAGCAACTTGAAGCTGCCTCGTGTCAAAAAGTTTGACTTCACAAATTGGGCTGGAGAAAAAAAAAAATCTTTTATGTCCCAGTAGATAGAGTAAGCTAAGTTTTTGTGCTTTATTCATAGTCCTTCTGAGTTGAGGAAAATTTTTTTCTTTTAATATTTTCAGATTAGAATCACAAGGTTTGTGTAATATACTTATGAAAAGGCTTTCAGGAAAGTGCTTGGTTTATTTCTAAAGGAGAGGCTGCTGATGGTAACTTGTTTGCTGCTGTGCAACTGAATGAGCTGGAACTGCCACCGGAAAGCCTGCCAGTTGTGGCAAATTAGTAGTAGTGTTCTGGTAAGATGACATATCCACAGACATCCCCATCTGCTGTGCATAAGCAGCTGTTCCAGTAGCTGATTGAAGGTTAGAGTTCTGGTTAATGTACGTAGGATTGGAAACAGTGTCTTGTCCAGTGCTACAAACAAAATTTTAAAAAGAAAACTATATTAACTTTGCAATATTTAGATTATGGTCAGAGATCAATCATGAGAAAATAAAAATGGGTTTTCTACCTCTTCAATCTTACGCAGTCCCACCCTTCTGCCTGTGATTTACTCATCAATCTATCCACCACTGGTAATGCAATTTTTACAACTGGTAAGAAGCAAGTACTCAAAAAGAAAGAAAATGTTAAGATTATAAGGCCTATTTATTTTGTTTTCTACGAAGTGTCTGATGGCAGTATCCTTGGCCAGCTACAAGAGTGGACCGCCAGCTGAAGTATACCATCAGTCCAGATTCTCCCTCCCACATCTTTCAATTTAGCACACAGGGTAGACTACCACGTCCCTCATACACTCCTTACCTTTCCTTTAGCAGGGAACATTTAAAGATGCCAGATAGTATAATCTTAACCCCTACATAAAATACTAAGGGCAGGGAAAATGGTGTAACGTACAGAGAACTCTGAATCTACCTTCAAGATAGTCCGACTTACATTTTATTTATTAACACTAAACAAAACAAAATCAAAATAATCACATCAAATTTCAAATTGTTTGTTCCCATAATTACTACAACAAACATTTCTTTTAATATATATGTAGCTTTAAGATATATCAAATAACCTACTTATGAGAATTAATTCCATAATTTCTAGTGTCACCTGACAATAAGATTTTAATTTTAACCGAACTAAATACAATAGGAATAGATTTCAGATATCTAAAGTTTATACTTGAAGAATTTAAGAGTAGGAAAAGACTATAAAGATCACCTATACATATTAAATTGCCTATAATGAATATTTCATGTGGTAAAGTTAAAAAGAAGGCAAGATTTAAATATGATTTTTCAGAACAGAAGTGTCAGTATAATATATCAGGCCACAAATTCCACAGCTCAAACATACCTATCTTTTGGAGTCAAAGTAACAAGTTTTCTGATTTTTAGCAGTGCATGTAAATAAGTATATCTGGGATGTTTTGCTAGGCGGATTACAAAACAGTTCTAAGTACACATTGAGGAAGAGGTGGCTTTATTTTGTTCTAGGGATCCATATTTAAGCCTCAATCCAGGTAACCATTTCAGTACTGGTAGCAAAGCTAAGAGCAGCACCCTTCTGACTTCATGAGATTATAATGGGCACAATTCTAGATCTCATCTCAGTAGTAAATGACAGCATTATCATCACAAAGAGAAGGGTTTCTGTATTCTCATTCTGTGAAAATTTAACATATATAAATACAAAATTAACATAGCTCCCAAAAACTTACCTTAAATATGGAGTCTGAACAGGCTGTGTTGTCAATGAAGAATTCACATTTGGAGGCAAAGATCTCAGTGGACCAATGTGATCTGATCCTAAGCTGTAGCTCTGGGCAACATTGACTTGATGAATGTTTTGACCCATATAATTTCCACCATGTGATTGAACTGGGTATGTCTGTTAACCCAAGAGAAAAAGTTGGCTCACTGATATCCCAAACATCCGCTTAACAATATATTTAAAAACTTTAAAAGACTTAAATGAGATAAAATGTCACACATTTCTTTGGGGAGCAATTTGATTCTATCAATCTATCCTTCCTAATATTAAAAGTGGAGAACTGCCAAATCTGTGGAAATTTATGATTTACTTGGCTGCTCTTTTATTTCACAGGGGGCTGGAAGAGAAGAGGTGAGCTTTTAAGTAGCTGGTTAGAAATCCATCCAGGTTTCCTATTTCACAATATGTATGGCTGTCGAACCACAGAAGACTATACACTCTCTTGAAGGGTAGGCCGTCATTATCTCAAGTGACCATCAGAACAATGACCTTCCCCATCGTAGGATGACTTATTCAACTCCTTCCTAAGAATTAACTTAGGAGAGTAAGATGAAGAATAAATGGTATCAAAACAAGATATAGGTCTTCAATGGCAATGTCGCTTTTATTTCTTGTCATTAGGACAAGACAAAAGTAATTAATTGGGGGTAAAGAAGATGTATTCTTAGGAACTAGCAAAATGGTCTAAATCGATCTGAATGTCTTTATGCAACTTATCTAAAGTTCAAGGTAACTTCTCCTTAAAGGTAGCATTCACAGTAATGTATGGTAAGTCCTCACTTAATATCATCTATAATTTCTTGGAAACAACAACTTTTAGCAAAATATTGTTTAATTAGAGCAGGTCCTAGAATAATATTTTGTTTAATGTTGGTGAGGATTTTTTTCTTACCAGTGTTATAACAGAATGATGCTATTCGAGGACCTGCTGCATGTTTAGTAAATATCACATAGTAACTATAATCACTAGTTTTACACCACCTTTTTTAAAAAAGATTTATTTTTATTTATTTATGCATACAAGAACTGGGGTGTAGGCCAGAGGTGCAGGGGGTGAGAGAATTCACCAGTGAAAGAGTGGGGAGAACACATGGATCTACTGAAATACACTGCTTAACAGAGCAGTGGGCAAGACAGGAGAGGTCTGCTTTGCCTTATGTGGGATAGCTCCCTTGCCAGGGATTGAGCTCATGCCACAGTGGCTGGTGATAGCTTGACAGCACCAAGACTTTAACCCCTGAACCACCAGGGAGGCCCTACACTAGATTATTTTTATTTATTTACTTATTTTTAAAAGATTTATTTTATTTATGCATATAAGAGCTGGGCTGTAGGCCAGAGGTGTGGGAAACACTAGATTATTTTTAAAGCAAGACCACAGACATAAAAATTTGGAATCCTAGAAATGCCAAATCAACTATGTGAAGTGAAATCTTTTAATAATTCTTGGTTGAATGTCATTCAACCCAGTGAATGACATTCAATTTAGACTGTGCACATGAACCTCTTTTGCACATTAGGATTCCTGGATATTACTTCAACTTTTTCCAGTACAGATTTTTTTTTTTTTCCCCAAATTAGAATAGGCACTTCTGAGTATTTCAAATACTATTATATGTTAATAGTTTAGAAAGAAGTTATGTGGAGAATTTAACTGACAGAGATAACTTTTTAAAGAAATTAGTTGTGCACTTTGAGCAAAACACAAATTTTAACTAGTAAGAAACTAAACACAAAAACCTGAAATAAGAATGACAACCCTTTACAGACACACAGGGCAGCAAATACACAGTTGTATCACACAATGGTACATTTTAATTTTGTTCCATTTTCACAGCAGCAGCAAGTGACTCCTCATAAACAGAAGGAATATTGAATAAACTCCAGCTGTCTTTTGCACCCAGGAATTCTTTTTACCTTAATATGTAATGACTCTTTCATCATTTTCAAAAGTTCAGGTCACAGCATATTTGATAAACGCATCTTGTCTGATGTGACAGTTACCATAGAAACTATTCTTTTTTTAACTTAACAATTATGTTGTGTCAAATCATCTTGATTATGCACCCACATTCTATCTTTTCCCCTTGGTGTCTCCTTCACACACTTCTTTACATACCAGTTTTCATAAATTAACATGAATTTTGTTCATCCAAGCTCATTCTGAATTGCTAACTGACTGAGATTTTTAAAAAGGCTTACAGGGTACTGATAAACATTAAGTATTCACCTCAACTGGGAAGCACAGAAAAGGTGTCAAGTCCTGGAAAAAATGCTGTTCACAAAAGACTGACAGAACATACACCCTCTAGGCCTGCATCATATCCTTGTCATGCACGAACTTTTAACAATTTAAGTCATGCAACTAAGAAAATATAAAGCATGATCGGAAATATATATATATATATTTTGAAAGAAGTTCATTATGTAAGTCTTTTGATAGTCACATAAGTTAAAGACAGAAAATTTAAAAGAAATGTTAACTCCTGCTTGTTGAGCAAGAGGAACCTCATCTGCAGAGGTTTTGACATGTAAGACACTGTCCTAAATCAAAGGATTTACACATACATAAAAAAAAAAATTATGCTGATACCTACAAAATTATATGAAGAACTGGAAAAATAAACTAAACTGTGTAAAAATATCAGTATCTAATTAGTTCTAGTGAACATTAACTATCTTGTCACTATTTCTTGACCATCAAAGATGAGTGTTACCATTTTCTTCATTGGCTATAGACACTTTAATGCTATGCACTGAATACAATCTTTCTTTTTTTTTAATTTAAAAATATTCTCTAGAGCCTCCCTGGTGGCACAGCAGGCTGGGCGCAGCACTGTGAGGCTGTCCACAGCCTCTGCAGCGCAAATTCGATTCCTGGCCAGCCGGGGGACGCCCACATGGCGCGGCAGACCTCTCCTGCCTTGCCCGCTGCTCCTCTCAGCAGTGTTTTCTGTCGTCTGCCTGTTCTGCAACCTGCTCTGTCTCTGGCGAATTCCCTTATGCTCCCGTGCCTCTGGCATGTGCCCCAGTTCTTGCATAGATTTTTTTTTTTTAAAAAGTGGCTCTTCCTTTAAAAAAAAATAATAAAAATAAAAATGTTCTCAAAAGACATGCTCACCTGCATTGGAATCCCAGCTGATGTATGAGGGTAATGTGCTGGGGGGTGAAGTTTTGAATAGGCTGAATATAGTGGTGCTTCATTTACCAATTTGTTGTATAGTTCTAGAGCTTCCAAGACTTTTATATTCAATTCAGACAATTCTGAATGCTTCCTGATACAGAAGAAAAGCACTTAAATACGCTTTAAAGTTTTTTATGCATGTATTAAGCAATATAAATTATTTTTTAAATAGCCCCATTTTCTATTCATGTTTTAAAAGGTTCTTTATATACACTGAATGAATATTCAGAAAGGGAAAATGGGAGGAGGAATTATTTAATTCTTGTAATAACTAGGCTGATATGACTTCATAACATTAGGGAAAGACCTTTCACATCTCTTAAAATACAATCAATTCATAATTATGGATCTAGAAGAATTTTGCTTTATATGTTAGAGGTTTCTGTTGAAAATTCAATAAAAAGGAAAAATAATTTCTCAATTTAGAAAAAGCCTAACCTTTAATTTAAAAACCTCTCAAGCAAGGGCCAGAGCTAGCTAGAAGTATAATATGACTAAATTAAAAACACATGCAAATACACAAACAAAAGAACATATCTTCATTTTCTTATATTCATAAAAGGATCAACTGAAAAAATTTATCCTTGAAAATGCAAATAAAACAGCATATATGTAAATTAGTCTCCACGGCTCTTGTTTGGCTTCATTTGAGAAAATGAGTGAAACTAGTTACCTTATTGTATGACAACAAATCCAAATATAAACATTTTCAAATTTACCCAAGGAATTCTACGGTAAATCTTTCAGACTTGATAGAATTTTGACTGTTGCCTGAGAGTAATGAAGAACTCGCTCTGCAACTGACAAGCTATTGGGTTGTCATCAGAAAAGTCACGACACATTTTTTCTGTTTTTTTGAAAAATGTATCATGACTTTTCTGACAACCCAATAATAAAGTTAAATGGTCATTTTATCTGGCCTATACCACCAAAATCCTGCTTATTAAATGTAGTTCTTTTTACACATACGTAGCGGCAAAAGAGGCAGAGGAAGGCATTCTGACACAGGAATACCAAATAAATAACTGGAACTGAGTCTAAGCAAGACTTGTCACCTTTCTTCTACTAGAATCTGCTATTACGAAACAACATTTATTTCCTCTTTTAATTTGTGACTGTGTAAAGCAGGTCAAACTATTTTCAGAAGTATCAGCTGTAAACCACACAGGAAGCTTCAGGAATTAGTGTCTGTGCTAACAAATGCGTGACTAAGAACTAATGATAGGAATCTGTTCTATATAACCCAATATACTTATGAAATATCAGAACTCAGTGAAAAGGCATGATGAACGAGTTTGAAAATCACCTTCAATGAGCTGAGACATAATTCCATAACAATAACGAATTTTTACTGAACTGTGCCCAACTCTACAGTGAGAAAAAATTAAGCAGAAGGTGGAGTTCTCTCCCTGAAAGATACTGTAACCTACTAGAGAGAGAAGCACAAGAACATGAAAATAGCAAATGATACAACAGCATATAATTGAAACCAAAACTATATATAAGAGGTGAGGAAAAGAAGAATTTAGAGGAGATGATTAATTTGGCAGGTAGCAGAGTTTATTGGAGAACTTATGCTGGCACCAAAGGATGGAAGATCAAGCAAAAAAGGAAGACAGGTCAGTGGGACAGTGTGAATTAAGGCAGGCAAAAGCAACAAGCAAGGAATACTGAGAAAGAAAAGAGCAACTTGACTAAGGTACTAAAAGTCATTTTTTTTTTTTTTTTAATAGAGGCATGCTTTATTTATTTGTTTGCTGGTTTGTTTGTTTGTTTTGTTTATACATGCACTGGGTACAGTCAGAAGTCCGGGAGGGAGGGTGAGAGAATTCACCAGAGCCAGAGCGGGGAGCAGAGCAGGCAGAAGGACCGAAATGCACTGCTGAGGGGAGCAGCGGGCGGCAGGAGAGGTCTGCACGCCATGTGGGACCCTCCTCCGGTGGCCGGGGAGCAGCCGGGGATCGAACCGGCGCTGCAGAGGCCGCGCGCAGTTTCGCAACCCAGCGCTCAACCGCTGCGCCACCGGGGAGGCCCCTAAAAGTCATTTTTTTAGAGAATAATAGGTATTAAATTAGAACAGCCTGGAACACAGTTAAGTTCAGACTTGGATTTCTCATCAACACATCTATTTATACTTTCTGAGAGTCAATTTACATATTTTTCCATATAATTTCTTAGTGTTATAAATGCTACAAAACTACATTCTGTAGAATGACAGAAATAAAATGTAAATTACAATTTTGTGATAGTAAAGTTGTTTTTCTTAGTAGGAAAAACAAACTGGTGATGATCCATTTAGGTAAAGTAATGATGTTTTTATTTGTCTCTCAATGCTCAACAAGTTTAAACAGTCAATAAAAGTTTGTTGAAGAACAGAAAGCATTTCGAGAAGAGGAGCTACATCTGCAGTCAATGTCCATGGAATAGAAAAGCCAGGTGGTCTATAAAACAGTAAAAGCTGAAAGTGAACTGGTTAACAAGTGAGTTCTCACTCAAAAATTTAACTAGTAGCAGAAATAGTCACTCAGATTTATAACTGTTCTAGACTTTTACCTTTGAAGATAGTCTTTTTATCAAGCAAATCTGCTTTTTTACCCACTATGGCATCTTACCATGTCCACAGATATTTAAAAAACAATCTCATCTTGAAAGATATTTCAGTTTCTTCCAACTTTGTTTTTACAAATAATACTGTGAGGAACATTCTAAATCTTTACATATACCCCTATGCATTTACTATGGGCCTGAAATTGTTAAGTTGAAGGATATGCTCATTTCTAGGCTCCCCAAAGGTTTATAATAATTGCATTCCTAGCCACACCTAGAGAGATACTGACCATTTTTCAAAAATCTTTTCCTGTTTGGTTATTCACTGACCTCTAACTGAAATCAGTGAAACCCTGCACTGAAATATATAGGAAGATATTTAATGCTTTCTCTGAAATAAGAACAATAATCATAAAACCACCACCATTTCAAAAATAGCAACAGATTTTTCATTTCTGTAGAAAATATAAAGTTTGATAGAAATATCCCATGAAACCAAAATTATAATCTTCAGTGTCTGGGAAAAAATCTTGCTGCTACCACCATTCTCTGGCAAAGGCAGGAAAGAAGTAGTTCCTGTTCTTGTGCTGTTTTACACACAAGTAGGAGCAAGGAAAAGTAGGAGCAAGGAAGGGACTATGACAGACCACTAGGGCCTTAATCCTTTTCTTCTAAATGGATTATCATCCATTCACTATTGCTTCTCCCTCTGACTTCAGGTGAAAGACAAGAAGGCAAAATGAAGTTAAAAGCTCAAAAACCCTGATAATCTCTCCTTCAGTGATGCTGCTATCTCTAAGGAACAGTAGAGTAAGATAATGAAATTAAAGAATATGAATACAGAAATGCAATGAAGAAAAAAATGAGAAATGGTGTGTTGTGCTGGATTTAACTTTACAAGTAGAAATTTCTTTTGAAAGTTTTACAAATATTACTTTGTTCTCACTAATAAGACTAAAGAGCTTGTCAAAGATTCCTGTTTTTATTGTGTGCTATATTCTCTACTCAATTTCATTCTTCATTACTCATAATTCCCTCTCAGTCCAAGTAAAAAAAACAAAAACTGGCACCATGAGAGCAAGGGTTCATGATCTATGCATAGGATACTCATTTAAAAAATAAAAAAAACCTACCAAATAAAAAAATACCACATTGCTATTAGTTTTAAGTTTTAGAAATGAGAAACAATTTTAACAAATTGAAACATTCTGTAAAATCTCCCTAATCTAAAGTTCTGTCAAAACAAGGACACATAAAAATCTATACTTGCTGTTCCCTACATAAAAAATCTCACCTATCAATCTCTTCAAGTTTTTCATCTATCATTGGACCCATCTGTTGGCAGACATCTGTAAATACAAAAAAAAATTTAAAAATCTAAAACATAAACCAGTTTAAATCAATTTCAACAATTCTTAACAGACCACCAATATGCAATACAATGCATAACACACAGAAAATTAAGTTTATGTTAGAAAAGACCTAATTCCAAAGGCAAGTCAGAATCAAAACAGAAATCCCACCATGTTTTCTTGAATAAGCCAGTTGAAATCTTGAGTTACTCCAAAATACCTAAAGTATTTTGGGATAATCTGGAGTTATTGAAAATACTTAGAAAATTATTATCACCAAGTTACATGAACTGAGTTACAGTATATAAAATATGTAATTACATGTACACTAGACATGAACATTTTTCATTTATTTAAGCCATTTCAAAATTAAAGACTTTTGTATATTTCCAAATGTAAACACTGATAGAATAATATACTATTTCATACCCACACTTTCTTCTATAAAAAGATTCAAGACTTATTTATTTAGGGCCCCCCTTGATGGTACAGGGGTTAAAGTCTTAGCACTACCAAGCTAATGCCAGCTACTATAGCAGAGTTGGAACCCCAGCCAGGGAGCTAACCCACATGCTGCAGCAGACCTCTCCCGTCTCGCCCGCTATTCCCCTCAACAGTGAATTTCAGTAGATCTGCCTGTTCTGCTCTCCATTCTTTCTCTGGTGAATCCTCTCACCTGCCCCTGCACCTCTGGCCTACACCCCAGTTCTTGTATGCATAAATAAATAAAAATGAATCTTTAAAAAAAAAAAAAAGACATTTAATTATTAGAGATTTTTCTCCCAAAGGATTTTTATTAGGGTAACTAACATTGGTTTACAACACTATATATGATTTAAGGGACTAGGATAAAACCTCCTCAGCTGTGTGTTAGCATAACACCCCTGCCATCAAAGGACCCATAGACCACTAGGTCCCTCTCATCTTTTGTTACCACCCCAACCCCTCCACCAGTAGTCTCATATCTGCAGTCATATTTCTAGGGTTTATTCTGGTTTAATTTAGTCAGTTCAAAGGTTTTTTAAAAGGCATAAAAATATTTATTTTGTTTCAAATTTCTTACATCATATGACTATATGACAAGGTCAAGACAGAGCATGTTTAACTAGAAATAAAAATTTCTAATATTTTGACTCAATTTAATATGCTGTTAGTTCTAATTCTGTTGTCTTTGGATTACAAATTTCTTCAGTTATCACTAGAGCGCTTATAGAAATACAAACACCTCCTTTTTGAAAAGGACGGGCATGTTTACAACAAGTAATATGGTTACTAATTTACCAGACTAGTCTGTTTCCCACCAGAAATTTCTAATCTCAAGAAGCAAACGTGGGCAGAAGAAATTTAAGAATTATAAATAGCTAAAATATTAAATGACAGCAAAGTAATCCCTAATATTTACTAAGTACCTTCTAAATCCAAGAGGTCTTGGGAGTCTGGTTTTAAATCTGTTGGATCTATACTTTGGAGCACCTGCAGGGTTCTATCCATCTTACCCTAAAAATGTAATAGGAAACTTTAATAACAAGGAGTTTAAATTTCAATGAATATAAAACTTACTCTTTCCAAGCATTCTCAAATGTAAGACATTTTAAAATTACTGATTAACTATTAAAAGAAAAAACTCTACCTCATCTATATAAACAGGTTCAGGCTCTGATTTCTTAATTTCCTCCACATCATCCTCAATTACATTCAATTTGTCCACAGCTGCTATGGAAACAAAGTAAACTTTATAAATTCCTCAGCATTTACTTTGGTATATAGTCATTAGTTTACAAGTAGCCCATGATTATCCATAAGGAAAAAGTAGAAACCCTTTAACTATCCATCACATATCAAAATCAATACACATTATTACATATGTATGTTCATTTATTCCACAAATACTTATTTAGCATATACTATGTGACAGGCATTGCAGGCATCGGAAATACACCAATGCATAACATAAACAAGAATTCCTACTCTGATAGGATTTATGTTCAAAGGAGCAAGTGGGGAATATTAAGGGAAAATGTCATTTCAGAAATTTTCTGGATAACTGTTACCATAAGGATGATGAATAAAATGAATAAAGAGAGTAGAGTATGATACATTTAGCTCATTCCAGCATTAAACCTGTGAGTTTCTTCTACATACTTTCTTAGCTACAAAATAGTAATTTTGCTATGAACAAAAGTAGACTTGGTTTCAACTTAACTTTGATTATAGTTAAAATGACAGAAAACAAAAACAAACCTTTTATGAAGAGATTGAAAAATAATTTATACTAATATGCACACCCAGAAAACTATTTAAATGTCCACTGGAGTAGTTATAATGTACTAAGTTTTGTTAAAGAAAATTCTGATAAAAATTAAATTATAATAAAATCCATGTACTCAATATAATTTTTAAGTCCTAACAGCTGCGTATATCAAATATCTGGTTAACTTTCAAATATGGCCTAAGGAGTAGAGCTCATTATAATATTAGGATATACTGAAAACAGAGTATTTCTTACTTCTAAAACTGCACATCAATCTCTCCAGCCTATGTCAAGAGGAAATCACTATATAGGTTCAACTGAGCATGGTCTATCAAGTTATTAAAAATGATATCTCCAATGTGCGCATCTATTTAAGAGTCAGACCAGAGAGTAAAAAATACAAATAATGGCAAACTGTTCAGTATTCAAATGAGTATCTATCTCTTTTAACCTCATTTTAACTGAATCCGTCACTCTACTGACACAAAGATGATGTTACATAGGTTGCAGTTTAAGTTCTTTCTCTAGAACCGGTAAAGATAAAGCACTGGTTTGTTTGCTAGTCAGTCAGTGTAAGCACACTCTAAGGAAGATTGGCTAACTAGAATCCTGGCTCTAGCACCTACTAGTCACAAGCCCTGAGTCTCAGTTTGTCTGTAAAACAAGACAATAAAAATACCTATTTCACAGAGTTATGAAGATTAAATGCAATGTTCAAATACTGTGAGCTATTTTATTTTGGATCATCACCATGTAGTAGTGATGAGTAGTCTCATCAGCTCCCTCCCTCCTTTCACCGCCTTGTCTACTTTAACAAATGGAAGGTTTTCAGCACAGTGACCGCAACTGAGGGGAACTGTCTGTGCCAACAAAATTAAGTGCAGTTCCCATCTACACCAGGAAACCAGTGTCTTGATTATTGATTATATTACTTTATTATAGTCTCAATTTCACTAGGTTCAAATCAAAGTGAACAAAAGTGTAAAATTTAGGAGTACACCTAACCCCAATAATCACACTCAGCCCAGCAGTGAGGACTCCCCACACTGCCCCCTCCACAAATAAAACCAATATTCTTTGAACTAAACAGACACAAGCTGCATCTTACACTGTATGATTAGGTTGATCTAAATATTTTTAGTCAGAGATTATTTTATGCCTTACATGAAACTATGTATGTTAACTTTCAAAGGATTTAAAATACAATAAAGAAATAATTCTTGGAATTGGCCTGCAATAAATTAATATCTTAATTTGTTAAGAAGTAGGTTAAATTGTATTGACTATAAATAAATCATTTAGAACAAGGATTAAATGCCAACCTACTTTATATTCAAAACTGCACCACAGATTTCAACTGTAAAAAGTTTCCCTAAGATTATCTTACCTGCATCTGATTCTATGTTTAAATTAGTTGTTACAAAATTAGATGGGAAGAGTCCTATTCCTCTATGATTTTCTCCTTTCCACCAATTAGCATCACTGGAAATACAATGCAAAAATGTCAGTTCTTTTTCTGCATTCCAGTACATTAACGTCCACAGGAGTTAAAATAAAAATTAAATTTAGCTAAAAAATGTAATAGTTCACATTCAACTTACATTAAAAGTAGTTCTTCTTAAAAGATATGAAAAAACCACAAATAAAACAAATATCCATATTTCCATTCTTACATTAGCAATTAGTCATATTTGTCCTGGGCTTTTAAAATAATAAAATATTATAAATACTGAAGTTCCCTTTATCCATAATCCCACAAAGCATCCTACCACACCACCACCATGAAGCTCATATGCGGCCTTCCTGACAGTTTATTTTTTATTTACAAACATCTATAGCCAATTCTGTAGGTATATATGTTAATCCTTACAGATACGTTAAAACTTTTATGTAAATGGGCTTCCCTGGTGGTGCAGGCTGTTGAGCACAGTGCTGTGAAGCTGTCCGCAGCCTCTGCAGTGCTGGTTCGATCCCTGCAAGCCTCGGAGCAACCCACATGGCGAGCAGACCTCTCCTGTCTCGCCTGCTGCTCCCCTCAGCAGTGTATTTCATCAGTCTGCCTGTTCTGTTCCCTGCTCTGTCTCTGGTGAATCCCCTCCACCTCCCGCACATCTGGCCTGTACCCGGCTCTTGAATAAATAAAACAAATCTTTAAAAAAAAAAAAAAAAAAAAAAAAAAAAACAAAGAAAAAGAAAAATACCGGATGGTCTCACTCATAGCAGGAATCTAGAAAACTTAAATAAGAGACCAGGAAAAAGAATAACTATAAGAAAGTGAAAATCAAAATCAACAAACAACTATGAACCAGAGACACTCTGGGGGGGGGCGTTGGGGAAAGGAGGGATTGGGGTCAAAATAACGGGGTTGCAATTGTATGGGGAATATAAAAATAAAATTTAAAAAATATATATATAAAATAAAAATAAATAAATATAACCTTTTATTTGATACTAACATCTTGCTTATCTCTTTTATTTATTTATTTATTTATTTTTAAGATTTATTTATTTATTTATTTGTACAAGCACTGGGTACAGTCAGAAGCACGGGAGGGTGAGAGAATCCGCCAGAGCCAGAGCAGGGAGCAGAACAGGCAGAAGGACCGAAGTACACTGCTGAGGGGAGCAGCGGGCGGCAGGAGAGGTCTGCACGCCATGTGGGACCCTCCTCCAGTGGCTGGGGAGCAACTGGGGATTGAACCGGTGCTGCAGAAGCTGTGGGCAGCTTCGCAACCCAGCGCTCAACCACTGTGCCACCGGGGAGGCCCTTGCTTATCTCTTTTAAATGAAAGTTTCACAACATGAATAAGGCATTTTTGATTTATCCAATCCCATACATATGAACATTTAGGTTACTTCCATTCTACCACCATTAAAAAAAAAGGTGGTAATCGCTAGGGCACACATAGTGTCTTTAGGTGCACTTATGGACTTGTGGGTTCACACAATACAAGCATTTTTTTATCTTGCTAGATATTGCCACAGGTTTCCTAAAGCGGCTTTGGCAATTCCCATCCCCCTCCTCTGAGCAGCATGTAAGAAGCCATTTTTACATTTTTACACGAACTGTCCAAAAACACCTGACATCAGACAGGAAAGCATGGCTGAGCTCGTCTGTACTTCCTGAGTGAGTCTGCATGTCATTCAGACTTCCTACTCTGTAAACTTATCTTCTGTTCAGCTTTCTTTTTCCATTGTATCATTTGTCCTTTTTCATTCATGACTCTGTAGTACTTTACATATTCTGGACAGCATTTTTTCTGAATCATACAAATACCTTCTCTCAGACTGTTGCTTTGTGTGTATGTGGGGGGTGCATGTGTGTATTTAGTTTCTCTCATTCCATGATGGTTTTTGCTCCTTGTAATCAAATTTAGCAATCTTTTCTTTTATGGCTTACACTTTTTAAAATGATTTTAAAATCTATATCCTTGAGCTCTTAAGGAATTTTATAATTTTCTTCATAAAAATGTTATAAATTTTTGTCAGGTATTTATTTCTAGATCATTTATAGTTTTTGTTACTACTGAGAATGGCACTTTTTTCTATTACATTTCTCAAACAGCTATGATTAAAGCATAACAGTGATTTTTTGTATACTGAGCCTATATCTAGCAATCAATGAAATCTTGACAGTTTTTATAGTTTGTTCCTTAGCCTCTTGGATTTTCTATCAAGACAATCATAGAATCTGGAAATGACAATTTTATATATCTCTTTTCAAAATTTTGACTTACTAAGCAGGCCTATTCAAAGATAAAACTTAATGGTGAATTAACTTCTGTGATTCTGAAACATCATTTGATTTGAAAAGTACCACAAAGACAGAAAAGTGCTATACAATTACCCAAATTCTTAAAACCAGGAAACAACTGATGTACTAACAGTCCTAAGATATCATATCTGCTACCTATACAAATTGAGACATTCTCTCTTACACATATACTTTAAGTCGAACTTTCCATTTTGAAAAAGAAAGCTGAAATTAAGAGGAATTTTTTTACATAAAATCAGAGAACCCACACCTATAAAACAGATACAGTGAATTCATTTGAACCTATCAGGTATTTTAGGTGTAGCCTTCCTTAGTGGTTCTATTAATGTGGGAGATAATTTCCCTCCAATGACTATTACAAACTCCTTGATAAGCATGAAAGTAGGCAAAACCACCAATAACTATGCCAAAGCATGAAGACTCCTTTGCAGCCCTAATCCAGTTCTATATTCTCTCCACTGGCAAATGATTCTATAGAATTTGAGTAGTATGAAATATTGTTCCAATTTTAAATTCCTAAATTAAGGTAATTCAGCACTATAATTTTACACAAGCCATTTGAGAACTCAGGAAAATTTTAAATCAAGCACTTATATTTAGAGCTTTTTATATTAAGAAAGTATATGTAATGGTTGAGTAAAAAAATGATGTAAGGTAAGAGACATAAATTTCACCTTCAACAAACTGACCAGCTAGTAGGTTTATGAAAACCTAGCAAAGAGCAGAGAGTGACATCAGGTCAAATGCTGAAGTTACAAAGATAATTAAGATACAGTTTCTGGTCCTCAAGAAACTTAAAAATCTAGTGCAGTATTTTTCAACCCTGCCTACCAACTAAGAACATGCTACCTTGTTTTACCTTATGGGATTTATTTTCTTTCCCCCCTTCCTCCCACCTACAGAAGTACTGACCCTCTTCACAACAAACTCATGGAGTTGGAGAGACATATGTAAAGAATTATAATAGAATATGAGAAATGCTTTAACATATGTTCAGAGAACTATAGAAGCACAAAGAAGGAACTCCTAAGTCTCCCGGGGGAACTAAAGATAGGGAAGGGTTTTAAGGCTTCTCAGAAGATCTAAAACCTGACAAGGGATTCGAAGGTTAAGGAGGCATTCAAAAATGTAAAAGGGCCATGTAAATTAGAATGACATTTTGCCCCATTGCCATTATGGATAAGGAGAAAAGTAAAATTACAAAGAACAAATTAAAAAAAACCGTTACTGAGATAGCAAATCTGAAAACCGTGGTAATCTTATGAGGATCTCTTCCTTAAAAAGCTCATTTTAGTTTTCATTTGGGGGAGCCAATTCTTCTATTCTAAACCTAGACTCCCTTGCAAATCTTCCTTGCAAGTAATGTTCCTTTCTTTTCTAAATGTGTTTTCCTCCTGTGACAGGGCTTTCCAGGCAGAGAGAACCAAATGTACAAAGCCATAGAGGTCTAATCACAACATAGCATTTTTGGAACTGCAAGAATTCCACTTAATTACTTGAAATGGTACATACAAAATAAAACAAGACTGGGGAGATAGAGCTAAAAATGTAGAAAGTGAAAAGTTTTTTGGATATACTCTGTTAATAAGACATGTGCCTTTTCTATCAGCTCAGTGAATCCAAGAATGATGTATTTTCATGGGACTTCAAGTTCTGTATGTGAAAATTTTTTGTGTAATCATTTCCACAGCAACAAGAAAACAGTCATATCATGGATCATCTAGATGACCTACTTTTAACCTAACACTGCCATTTAACTTTTGTACCCGTTTGCTATTGTGTTTAAAATCTTGCCAGTGATAATATTTAACCTATTATACATGCTGATAAACATATCTATGGCAATTTTAAGATTGGGGTATCATATTATCAAAATGATAGCTATCAACCTGCGTATTCCATCATATTCATGTCAAAGTCTACCATTTACAAAGAAAAAAGTTCTCTTTTGCAGATAGTCTCAACTGAAAATAGTTCTATATGAATCTAAGTAATTTAATGAATGTGCTTTAATTAGACATTAGTGAAAAAGACAAGTGTAGCACATTAACATCATCCTTCACTTGCGTCAAGTCAGTAGACTATAACAGGTAATATAATGCCATGAAAACATCAAATGATGTCAAGGAATACTGATTCACAACAGTTACAAATTAGGATTCACAACAGTTACAAAAGAAAAAGTCAGTGGAGAACTGAGTTAACACAGCACTGTGTTGTGTACACCTGCTGAAGATGACAAAAGTCCCTTGCCACCGATGAATACTGTATTTACCTTGTGAGCAGCATTTTAGACAATTTTCTAATTACATAAAAATGTTCAAAATTTGAATTTTAAAGCAAAAACCACTCATTTTGTAATGTTTCTATTTGCTTTATAATGTCTTTAATGTTATAGTTACCTAAGCGTATCAGAAGTGTACCCTAAGTTCTTTTGTAAATATGCCACTAAACACTCAGAAGTTTGCTATTTTAGATTGTCAATGTTCAGACCCCACACTTCCTTTTCCCCTTGATCTCTATTTACTCTTCTTCAGGGATTATGTGCTCTACTCTAAATAACTATTTAAAAACAAACCAAAAAAACTTTAGTGAAAAAAAGTGATTATTTTCTAAGTGAACATAGTGTTATATATTACTAAGAGACTTCCTTTTCCTAGTCTTGATTTCTTGCAAAATTTTTCCTGTTCTGTCAAATCAAAGTCAAATCAAAGTTCACCTGAAATGGACAACTCTGTGTAAGACTTCTTTCCCAGATGGTTGCATGAGGTGTCAATTTGTTCTCTTCCGAACTCCAACATTACCTATTTTAGGGTGTTCACAATCTGCATTCCATACAATTATCTGATGGTAATTTAAATTCCCTACTTTATTCTAGGTTTTAATGAAGACAAAACTATCCTCATTCATTTTTTATTAGGCAGAACTTCTCACATAATATTTTCCGGATGATCATTTACTACAGCAAATTAAAAGCATTTTGTGTACCTGCCTATTTAAAAATATGATAGACTATAATGTATCCTTAATTAGTTATCTGTAATGGACATCAATACATTTGCAATCTCTTCACAGCAACAAGAGTTTAGGTCTCACTCATGCTCAATTTCAGGAGCTTTTTTAAAAGCAAAGTACAGAAGTAGGCCAAAATAGACCCATACTTAATTATAACTTTAAATTATAGAGAAATTGTGAGGAAAAGTACAGAATTGGGGATGAGCCAAGTATAGCTTTTGGCTGTCCTGAACAAAGGTAATTTAGCTATATTTCCTCCTAAGATTTTTGTCCCAAGGTCAATGTCTTCAGATAATTGAATATTTACCTGTGTTTCCAAACTGTACTGATCAAAGTATTAATTCATCTTTCACCAAAGATATAGAAAATATTTTAATATCAAATTTAACAAAGAATAAGAAACTCGTAATTGCTAGGCTTTTACTTTAGATAAAAGTAATTAAGGTACAAAAAGGTTCTACTATGATTTAAATACATTGAAGAACTGAACATCCAGGATTCTAAATTAAAGACATTGAACTTAGTAATTTCAAAAAATTGCAGAAATAAAAATTTAAAACATACCTGTCATCCAAAACAATAATAATTTCACCATGTTTAAAGGTGAGTTCATTGTCCTCCACAGCTTCAAAATCATATAAAGCTCTTACTTTCCTTGTAACCTTATTATTTAGCTGAATTTCTGCAGATGGATACAAGGGCTTTGTTTCTGTGTGCTGCTGCTTCTGCTCTTGCAAAGACAATTCAATAGCTAGTTTGAAAAATTAAAATGCAAAAAATAATTGATTTTTTTTGAAAGTTTAGGTAACATCTAGTAAGAATCAATCAAGAAAGTATTTTATTTGCTCAGTTAAAAGCTAACCAGTTTACTGTCTTGAGGAGAAAAATAAATGGGGCAGAGAATCTCACGACATTTTTTTAAAATAAAGTTTGTGCTCACTCATTATTATCACAGTCTGTCATATACAGCAGCTATTATTTTTGTAGCAAACAGATTGTGACATTATAATATGGGTAGCTTTCCATATAGGACAAGCCGTGAGCATATTTCTGTGCTTGACTCACAACTTTGGCATTAAAGAAAAGGTGAAATGTAATCTCTGCGAAGGTAGGACATTAAACATATCTATTAACAAGGATTATGAATTAAGTTAGATCTTAATCACATCAGTTGTTTACTTTTCAGATTCTACTAGTTTTCATATTTGAGGAAAAACACTAAAAGTATATACCAAGTTTTAATATAATTTTTATTTCAATAAACTGGTAAGAATGTTTTTACATTAAATTGCACATGTCTGATCATTTACCTTTAGCTATGTCTTCATCTTCTTTATTTTTGTTCAATGATGTACCATTCTTGGCAGCAGCTGAGACCGTCTGTAAATGTACGAGTAAAATGAACATAACTACCCTTTCAAAGAAAACACAAAAGCTCCATAATTACTTTCACATACTAATTTTAAAAAATTCTGATATAACTAATGAGTTTTGTTTAAAAATGAAGTTCTTCATGATGACTTTAAGTAGTTATTTTCAAATACTAAAATATCAGAATTTTCAAGAAAATATTATAAATTTACAAAGGGCATGAACTGGTTTACATTATCCATAAATAGTATCTGACATAGTACTTGGCATGTAGAAAGTACTAAAATATTTTTCCTGACTGTACCTTCTGCTATCAATTGTTAAAGATCTCTTACTCAATAAGAGTCTCTGTAAGTGCAGAGGTACATGTCAGTAAGAAGCTGTGTCTCACCAAAGAGGGAAGACAAAGATAACAGGTGCAGTTCTAGAAATACATGGTAAGTCCTCTTTTACTCTTATGTTTGGATGTTATTTCTCGGCATACCAGAGAACTGAAAAAGATCATGCTTACATTTAAAAGCATGGAAGACAGAGATGAACAGGACTCTGCACAAGCAACCAGTGTTTTGATAAATATGCCAAAAGGGAAGAGTTGAAGAGTGTTTGTTTTTCATGCCAAGAGTCTACATTAAATCCTCAACCTGGTCAGCTATATTATTTTAGTCTCTTCAGTCTACAGTTTATTTTTTAAAAAAGTAGTATTCCTTTTTGTCTTTTCCCCTAGCACATATCTTAATATCACTTGGAGAATAAGAAGCACTGAGAGCAAAACCCAAGACAGTGTTTTCCTCCCACAGACGTAAATAATCAACACACTTTGTGACTCTTGTCCCTACCTCCATTCCAGTTCTAATAAAGCTATCCCTTACCTCCTCAAATAAATTTCTAGCCTTACAGTTCTACCTATCTTATATGTAAACCATCAACTGCAGGCTCATTCATACTCTTCAATAAACAGGTATTGAGATTTCTTTTTTTTTTAATACTTTTTTTTTTCCTCGGTAAACCTTACACTTTTTTTTTTAAAGATTTATTTATTTTTTATTTATTTATACAAGCACTGGGTACACTCAGAGTGTGGCAGGGTGAGAGAATTCACCAGAGCCAGAGCGGGGAGCAGAGCAAGGACCGAAGTACACTGCTGAGGGGAGGAGCAGGCGGCAGGAGAGGTCTGCACGCCATGTGGGACCCTCCTCCGGTGGCCGGGGAGCAGCCACGGATCGAACCGGCACTACAGAGGCTGCAGGTAGCTTCACAACCCAGCGCTCAACTGCTGTGCCACCAGGGAGGCCCTTGAGATTTCTTAATTCCATGAATTTGTTCATGTCATTCCTCCATCAATATGACCTCTTGTTCCTTTCTACCTATGAAATACATGTCCAAAATTCTATCTTTTCTTTACCAACTCAGTCCGTAGTTACCTCTCTCTCCTAGCATTTATTTTTGCATCCATCATCCATATTTGTCACTTATTATTTAGTTACCCTTCAAATTTGCTATAAATTTCTTGAACACAAGGGCTTTTTCATAATATCTGCATTTTGTGTGACTCTAGACTTAGAATAGCGTTAAGCAAATTATTTACAGCTGATGCCACTTCCCAAAGTTCTGATATAATTCGAGCCTCCCTGGTAGCACAAGGAGTTAAGACACAACCTATGAAGCTATCCACAGCCACTGCAGCACGAGTTTGATCTCTGGCCAGGGAGCTACCCACATGGCGTAACAGACCTCTCCTGACTCGCCTGCTGCTCCCCTAAGCAGTGTATTTCAGTCAGTCTGTCTGTTCTGTCCCCCACTCTGTCTTTGGTGAATCCTCTCACACCCCACACCTCTGGCCTGTACCCCAGTTCCCCACTCTGTCTCTGGTGAATCCTCTTACCCCACACACCTCTGGCCTGTACCCCAGTTCTTGTATGCATAAATAAATAAATCTTTAACAACAAATATATATATATTTTTACAAACATATATTAAAATAAATATATATGTTGTTATAGTAACAATATATATATTAAAATAACAAATATATATACATTTTAACAACAACAAATATATATATATGACATGCTAATTTTTGAGTGAATTTCATACATATATGTGTATATATTTGTATATCTCAAAAATTAGAATGTCTTATTAAATATAAGGCACCATGCTTCCGGGGAGCAGAAGTGGGAAATGAAGAAATAACTTGCTTAGCTTTTACATAAGAAACATACCTTCAAAATAATATAGGGTCAATTGTGGGTCTGAATAAATTTCTTACCTGAGAACTGGCCGAAGGAAAAGTAATACCTTCTTCTTTCATTGATTTAATAGTTGCAGATATCAGACTAAATTGTGGATCCTTCTGAAATTCTTCTGACCACTCCACCATTAAAGATTTCAGTTTTTCACATACTTTAGGATGAGCCTTTTAAAGAAAAGGCCAAAAAAACCACAAAAGCTATGGTTAAAATACCTGAATTATTTAACAACAACAAAAAAAAATACCACCAAAAGTCTCTTTAATTATATGAACATCAACAAAAGTCCAACAATCCCTAGCCTACATGTATAACTGATAAATACCTATCTACATGTAAAGACATAGTTGTTTCTTACAACTTTTTGAACATCAATTTCTAAGTCTTAGTGTAATGACAACAAATCTTTGGTTTCAGGAGGTTATTCTGTTTTCTTAATATTCTCAATATCAGTTTAAGCTTTTTATAACTAGACTAAAATTTTGGGATTTCTGTCACTAACAGAATGAGAATGGTGCTTCAGAGTTTCTATTCCAAAGAAATCAACAACAAACAAGCCCCCTATCATAAAGAATTCCCCTCCACTCTGCTATAAATAAAGGTCCCCTTTGCTCATCATCTCTACTGGCAATCAGTACAGAATGGTGGTTAGTCTGAGCTCTGGAGTCACAAAAATCTGGTTCTGACACTATGCTAAGTCACTTACTAGCTGCATGATCTTGGACAAGTTAATTTCTCTCTAAGCTTCAGTTTCTACATCTATAAAATAGTAATCTAACTTCTAAGGATTGTCAAGAGTCTTAAACAAGACAGTATTTGCAAAATGCTTAAAGTAGTTATCACTAGTATACATACTCTGGGGAAGAAAAAAGTTTGGCATTTTCGAATCGGAAATTTATTTAACCTCAAGTTTATCTAAAAATAATTGAAATTATAATGCAACTTTGTTTATGTCATACATAGTTAAAATGACAATAGATACATATTTTTTAATGACTTTCTTTTCTAAAATTTACCTTATTTTTTATCACAGCTCGTACTTCTGTTGCAAAATCACGGGAACACACTTCTAAATGAAATATCTTTCCACAGTTTGCCACACAAGCCCCAAGAAGCTATTAATTAAAATAAAAATTAATATACAAATGTTGATATATTATCTTAATTTACTGAAATACACATTTTAAATTGGGGTGAAAACTACGAGATTCTGTTAGGCTGCGCACATTTAACATAGTGAGGGTTAGACTTCAACAGCAGATGTTTGAAACACAGTTACAAGGAAAGGGAGAAAGAAGGCAATATAAACATTAATACAGACTGTGTATGTGGCCATTTTTACAAATACAAAATTAGTAAAATTTAGGTAAAAATTAGGGTGATATGGATTACCATTTTGTGTCAATTGTTCCACTGATATAAAATTGTATTTCAAGATTCAGTGATCAGTAAGTAAATAAACTTCATCCACACAAGTTACTTGTATGGAGGTAGGACTTGGGTACTTTGAAAAGATACATTTTTGCTGTCAGTTCAACTACTGACTTTCAACCTTGAAATGTGCTTTAGTATCAGCTAATTTAGAGTCATTAAAAACACCTATTGCAACCAAAAATAAATTAGGGTCAAAAAATAACATGACTTTTACTTACAGTTAATGCCTGCAGAGCAACATGAGGAACCTTATGATTTACCCTTTTCATTATGGCTTTTAGGCAATCTTTAGCTCTACAGAAAAATGAAGACAGTTAAGAAATTGTTCAGAATTTCTACTTCAATCATTAAAAAAACAAGGCATCCCACTATCAGGTGACTTTAAATTTAAAAATAAAATCTTGAGAACTGTACTTTGTTAAAGAAATTGTATAAAATTATCCCACACAATCTTCTCAAAGACTCATATAACTTACACAATAAAACAGCATGTTATAAAAGTTTGTATATTCCAAAATCAAGAAACAAGTCATTTCAAAGGTCAGTCAAAACAAAACTAAATATATAAATTATATTTAAATTTCTTAAAGACAGACTTAACTTTCATATAGTAAGTTCTTATCATGAGAAAATAAAACCTAGTAAAATATTGTCTTACTAGGTTTCACACAGTGAAACCTTCAGCATGTAAATGCACTTTCAAAAGGTGTAATGTTAAAACAAATACTTTCATGACTCTAACTTGTAAAGTATAATTAGTTCAGCTTAACTTTCATACTCATTTTTTTGATCATGTTAAATATTATATTTACTTGTTCATTATTAAAGGGCTTTTAGGCAGATTATAATTATATTTATCTACTTCATTATTAAAAGGCTGTTGTACATGTCTAAGTCACAGGAGAATTCACTATCCACTGTTAACATATGCCCCTATTATGTCGATGCTTTAATTATGTATTTTAATATATCTCAAGTTTTCAATTGAACTCCTGTCCAATTGTTTTTTCAGGACAAGGTTAATCCCATAAATCCATCTACCAGGATCTCCTCACTTTGATCCCTGAAAAGTAAATTGTAAAATCATACTTCCTTCAAAGTTTTATCAGGAAAAAAAAGGCAGGTACTTAAGCTCCGAGACAGTTGCTATTCACAATGGGGCATCTTACCCGTTAGGAGTGCTTCCAACTTTGTCACATATGTCCATAATTAGGCTCCAATCTTCTGTTGTGTTGTATTCATTTGTGGCTTTTTCTGAAAGATATTAGCATACACAAAGATGAAGACAAGTCTTAACACTAAAATACCAAGAAAGTACAATAGAGGGGCCCTCCCTGGTGGCATAAGGATTAAGACGCAACCTATGAAGCTATCCGCAGCCACTGCAGCACAAGTTCGACTCCTGGCCAGCCATCAAGTAACTCACATGGCGCAGCAGACCTCTCCTGACTCGCCCACTGCTCCCCTCAGCAGTGTATTTCAGTCAGTCTGCCTGTTCTGTTCCTCACTCTGTCTCAGGTGAATACTCTCACCCACCACACCCCTGGCCTGTACCCCAGTTCTTATATGTATAAATAAATAAATCTTTAAAAAAAAACAAAAAAGGAAGTACAGTAGAGAAGTCCTACCTTTCACCTGCCAAAAATAAATATCTGCAATAAAATTCAGAGGATACTTTTATTATTTCAGTTTTAAATTACAGAATTAAATGTTCAGAGGTACACCGATAAAATGCCTTCAAAAATGAATACTAAATAAATTACAAATTATCAATAATCTTATCCAATTCTAATTTGGAAGTCTTTAAAATGTATCATCATATAGGGAAATATGGATTAAACTGTTGGCTGAAGCACTGTTCTTTTTTTTTCAAAGATTTACTTATTTATGCATATAAGAACTGGGGTACAGGTCAGAGGTATGGAGGGTGAGAGGATTCACCCGAGACAGAGTGGAGAGCATCGGGCGAGGCAGGAGAGTCTGCTGCGCCATGTGGGTAGCTCCCTGGCTGTGGATCGAACTAGTGCCACAGTGGCTGCGGACAACTTCATAGGTTGAATCTTAACCTCTTGTGCCACCAGGGAGGCCTTGAAGCAATGTTCTTAAAAGAAAAAAAAAATTAAGAAAATACAGCAAACACTTGAATGTGAAAATTATATAGAACTGTACAAAAATGCATAAATCTTAAAATGTGTTTTGGTTTATGCTGAATTAGGGAAGCTAACAATAAAACATATAACATTCAATTCACAGGTACTTTCTAAATAGCTTTATTAATATAATTCAAATACCAGTAAGAGTCATCCATTTAAAGTGTACAATTTAATATTAATATTAGCTAGTACAATTTAATATTAGCTAGTCACATAATTGTATAGCTTTCACTATCTAATTTTGGAATGCTTTCATCACCCCCAAAAAGATATCCACACCCACTGGCAGTCACTGGCAATTCTCTCCACTTACTTCTAGTCCTAGAAAACCATTAACTCTATTTTTTATCTCCATAAATTTGCCTGTTCTAGACTTTTCTTATTAATAGAATCATACAGTGTATTTGTCTTTTGTGACTGTCCTCTTTTACTATATTTTCAAGATTCATTCAAATAGTAGCATATATCAGTACTTCATTTTTATTGTTGAATGATATTCCATTATGTAGATAAATATTTATTTTATCCATTTACTACTTGATGAACATTGGGATTTTTTGTTTGTATGTTTAGCTTTTTGGCTAATATGAAAAAATGCAATGCTGCTATCAACATTTGCGTATATAAGGTTTACACATGGAGATATGTATTCATATCTCCTTAGATATACAGTTAACAGAACTGCAAAGTGGTGTTGTAACCCCATGCTTAAAATGTTTTTAGGTACTGGGCCTCCCCAGTGGCGCAGTGGTTGAGCACTGGGTTGCGAAGCTGCCCGCGGCCTCTGCGGCGCCGGTTTGATCCCCGGCTGCTCCCCGGCCACCGGAGGAGGGTCCCACATGGCACGCAGACCTCTCCTGCCACCCGCTGCTCCCCTCAGCAGTGTACTTTGGTCCTTCTGCCTGTTCTGCTCCCCGCTCTGGCTCTGTTGAATTCTCTCACCCTCCCGCGCTTCTGACTGTACCCAGTGCATGTATAAACAAACAAACAAATAAATAAATAAATAAAACATGCCTCTATTAAAAAAAATGTTTTTAGGTACTAGCAAACAGTTTTCAAAATATTACATTCCTAGGTAATTCAATGTATGAATGTTTCACATAGAGCTTTAGAACATTCAAAAAGTACATTATACCCTTTAGGGATGCATATATATGTAGTAAAAATATAACATACATGAGAATAATAAACATCAAATGGGAGGTGGATGGGGGACATATTAAAACAGGTACAGAGGGGTTTGAGTATATTTATAAAATTTTGGTTATTAAGTTGTAGAGTGGGTATCCAGAAGTTCTTTATTTTACTCTCAGTATCTTTTTAGGGTTGACTTTATGGCCAATAAAAATTAAAAAAAAAAAATAGTTTCAAAAGTATGATCAGTGTATGACCAAATTATGAGGCTCTATTACTTTTATAAAATTTCAATATTGTCCATAGATACTGCTAGTATAGAGGTGGGGATACAAAAAATTACCACTTTACAAACATTTTTTCTTTTCTTTTTTTTTTTTTTTATAGAGGCATGTTTTATTTATTCATTTATTTGTTTGTTTGTTTGTTTATACATGCACTGGGTACAGTCAGAAGCGTGGGAGGGTGAGAGAATCCACCAGAGCCAGAGCGGGGAGCAGAGCAGGCAGAAGGACCGAAGTACACTGCTGAGGGGAGCAGTGGGCGGCAGGAGAGGTCTGCGCGCCATGTGGGACCCTCCTCCGGTGGCCGGGGAGCAGCCGGGGATCGAACCGGCGCCGCAGAGGCCGCGGGCAGCTTCGCAACCCAGCGCTCAACCGCTGCTCCACCGGGGAGGCCCAACATTTTTTCTTTTTTCCCCTTTTAATAAGTAAATTCTATAATTTCAAATACAGCCAAATCTGAGTGTTCTATACATATTAGCCTATCACAATGATAAGCAGAAGGGATAATAGAAATCCAGAGTAATTTATTAAAAGGGATAAAACAAAGCAAAAATTAAACAGGCTTAGCAAGAGTTACACTATTTAAGTAGAGAAAACCAGAATCCAGTCAGCCTCAGTTAAATCCTAGAATGTTTAAAAAAACATGCAAATTAGGGCCTCCCTGGTGGCGCAAGGGGTTAAGCACCACACTATGAAGCAATCCACAGCCTCTGCAGCATAAGTATGATCCCCAGCTGGCCTGGGATAAACCCACAAGGCGAAGACCTGTCCTGTCTCACCAGCTGCTCCCCTCAGCAGTGTATCTCAGTGAGTCTGCCTGATCAGTTCCCCACTCTGTCTCTGGTGAATCCTCTCACCCTTCACACCTCTGGCCTGTACCCCAGATCTTGTATGCATAAATAAATAAATCTTAAAAAAAAAACCATGCAAATTAAATTGCCTAACACTATTTATGGACAGAAAACAATTATTTTGACATGTGATGAAATAACAAACCAGAGATTTTGGAAAAGTAATATACTTTTGCCTATTCTACATTCTAGATTCAAGAACCAAGCTACATAGGTAGAAAGATATCTACTCAAGGCTAGCTTCTTTCCTTGTACAAAGATGACTAATTCTCAAAAAGAAAGTGAAACTAGGCTACATTGTTTTTAGAGGTTTCAAATGTTTACTTCTTAATGACATATCTAATAAATTCAGTGAACTAAAAGGTACAAATGAAAAAAACTATATCTACATCTGACAACCTCTTTTAAACTATGATACATCTCTCTCCAGACTTTTTCCTATACATGTAGGAGGAAAAATAAAAATACATATAAATATACATAAAACTAAATAAAAAAGAATCAAAGATACAAGATAGCCAAAAGAGCACTTCAAAACTGATAACTATTGGGCCTCCCTGGTGGCGCAGCAGTTGAGCGCTGCCCACAGCCTCTGCAGCACAGGTTCAATCCCTGGCCGGCGGCAAGGGTCCCACATGGTGCACAGACCTCTCCCGCCACACCTGCTGTTCCCCTCAGCAGTGTATTTCGTCAGTCTGCCTGTTCTGTTCCCCGCTCTGGTTGTGGTTAATTCTCTCACCCTCCCACGCTTCTGACTGTACCCAGTGCTTGTGTAAATAAATAAACAAACAAACAAATAAATAAAAACTCATAAATATTTCCCTCCAAAAGTTATAAACAAGTTGAGGAATAAAAGAAAAAATATCACTGTTATTACTAATTAAGGCGTAGGTATACTGGACAAATGAGCTCCCTAATAGGAATCCCAAAGGTGTAAATGCCTGAGCACTAGACAGGGGCCGATGTCTGACTGCAGAGGTAAGCTCCTTACAACTTATTCCATGGAGAAGTAGATGCTAAAAAAGCCAATAGCTGTGGAATGCTTAGCTTGTTTCTACATGGATGAAGCCCATTAGCTGGGCCAGGTACTTTTTTTTTTTTTTAAATAATAAATTTTATTTTTATATTCCCCATACAATTGCAACCCCCCCATTCTGACCCCAATCCCTCCCCTCCCGCCCCCCACCCCCCAAAAAGTGTCTCTGGTTCATAGTTTTTTGTTGATTTTGATTTTCACTTTCTTATAGTTATTAATTTTCCTGGTCTCTTAAAGTTTTCTAGATTCCTGCTATGAGTGAGACCATCCGATATTTTTCTTTTTGGCTTATTTCACTGAGCATGATCCCTTCCAACGCCATCCATGTTGCTGCAAATTGCATGTGTTTATCTTTTTTGAATGCTGAGTAATATTCCATGGTATATGGTACTTTTAAATTTACCAATCAAATGTGGTATTACAGCAGGGACTGAATGAATAAAGGAGCATGTGCAGACTCAGGTGACACCTGATGAAACTCTAGCCTCAGGAAGGAAAGCTCAGAGGTAAAGTATTTCTAACAATATTGTGATCATTCTATATGAATCACTTCCTAACCTGCATTTCCACTTATTATTAACATCTCTCGGTTGTCGTTAAGTACATCTCTGTGCCATTTTTTTAAACTGCTGTATGATGCACCATTATATACAGTCACTACAAGAGCCTATGCAAGCTAATGAGAAGTTATCAGCAAACTGTGGTTATAAATCCATCAAATACTCAATCTTTTTATTATACTCAGTGGTATCATTCATATTGAGGACACGCCCCCCCAGAATAATTCTAAAATCAT